GATGAAAGAAAATATTTTTGGATACTTTGGGGACCATAAATGTCCATCCTTACAATTTTTCCCAGCCACTGTAGCACTTAACTAGTGAGAGAATTTGGAAAAAGTGCAGGTGAATCTCCACAGTTTGTCAGGTTACTTATTCGTAACCCCTGCCTGACAAGGAGCGATGTGAAAGTAATGTGTCTTTTCCAAAGAACACAACCTAATGACCCAACAAGGCTTTAAACTCTGACTAGTTGATCAAGAGTCTGTTGTGCTAACATTTAGGTCACAGAAAGTGCAAGAAAGTGAAAAACATGGTTTCATTCCCCTAATAAATGGTACTACATTCAATTGAGTTTTTGTTGTCTGCTCTATTACTGTTTACACTGTTTACCTCATGAGTTTTTATCTATTTACAAAGCTGAGAACAGAATCTGAAGGTTACCTGAGGTTGGTTGAGGACTGGAGTTATAGAGTCTGAAACATACACCACAGTTCCAGTGCGGCAATTCACAACAAACAAGAAACCATCTGCTGCCTGTGAACATTAACAAGTTTGCTTATCTATAATTTAGCCCAAAAGGTAATTCCATCTTCATAAGATGCAAGAGATTATACTTCCTTCTCTTAAGTAACATTAAATTTAATATTGAAAAAAATTTGCCCTAAGAATAAAATATCAGGCCTACCTCCAATATAAGGTGCTTAAGTTCTTGATCAGAGAGAAATGAAGGCTTGTATGATACATCGCTAGGACCCTGGCCTTTAGACAAGGAACAAAGAAAAAAAAAATAAATGTGATCAGAAGACAACCAAAACATTAACCAGTCTTTAATTAAAAAAAAAAACTTGCAGAAACTAGCAGCAAGATTGAAGGTAGAGACCAGGATTCAAAGTTGTTATGATCTAAATGTCATTGCTTCTTTAACATCTAGTCTATCTCAACACACTGGAAGGGGTAGCTTTTTGTGTCTTGTTCTGGAAACCAATTAATTGCTAGGCTCAGGATTATTCCTCCTCTGTTAAAGAGAAGCCAATCAAGGGACACTCTTATCTTCCTAAACCACCCATACACTGAAAAACCACAAACTAGACTTGAAAAGTGACTTTGTTGTTGACATACCTGGTCCTCTGAGAGATTTCATGTAGTTCACAGCCATTCGAAGCACAGTGAGTTTATCTGGTTTCCGAGCCAATCCATTACAGGATGGTACCATATCAGATAACTCGTTTATATAAGCATTCATTTTATTTCTTCTTCGCCTCTCAATCTCACTATGGTTCTCCCTGTATAAAGAAAAGTTATAGGGAGGTTAATGGTCAGGTAACAAAAACAAAAGCTACCACATGATACAATGTACAGCTCTCACCACACCCACACAAGCCAAAGTATGGATGGAAATAAAAGGAGGGAGAGTGGTAAATTTCATAAACTGAAGGGGGGTAGTGAGAGGCAGACAGAGAGCTCTAGCACTACCTGTATCCTAACTCCCTTCCTCCTCCCCTTTGACCAACAGTTTCCATTTGAAATTTACCCTGCTCATTGTCAGACCATGTCTGAGGCTCAAAAGACCAATAATTTTCATTAGAACAATCTTACTCCTGGTTACATTGATAAGTTGAGCATATATTTAAGTTTATTCCCAAAATATAATACAAGTCATGCCTCACTAATCTGGCTAATTTTTCTTAAGAGGAAAGGAATTTGTAGGTTTGTCTGTTTTAGAATTATTTGCAATCAAATGAGAGTGATTCTGTACCCTGTATTCCTTTCACAAAGCCAACTACAATTATTCATTAAAAAAATCTTTAAACCAAACAGCATGTTTAGTTAATATGGCAGATTTTAAAGAATATTGGTAAACAATTTTATGTTACGTATACCCTTACCTACTTAACAAGCAAACTAAATTCCCACCGGATTGTTTCACGAGCACATTCTCAACGAAAGTTTAAAGGGCTCTCGATCATATACCGATACGTTTTCAAAAATAATTTAATAGTACTTTCGTCAACTTTCTAAATCTTCGCAGAGACTGTTTAACAACAACGGAAACTTGCATTGCAAATTTTTGAACGAAAAAGCAAAAAAACATCTGCGAGGGTAAACGGAAAAAAAGAAAATCTTACCACCGGCTTTTAAAATTACAGCTGACAATGCAAACGTTAATGGTGAACGTGTGTTCGATTGCCATAACATAAATGATGTAAATAGAGAGAGTTACAAGTCGTTTACAATAAAAATGGTTTTGATAGCTTCGAAAATGTTTGCTGAAATAAAAAACCATGTAGATAGTAGCTAGCAAAACCATGTACGTGACTGAAAACAGACAGAATACCTTGCAAACTTCTCTTTGTTAGACTCGTCCGACGTTCTGTAAACATTAAAAGAGAGCTTGTTAAAGTAAAATACTATTAAGCATTTTGCACTTGAAGCTTGAGAAATATCTTTGCCCACAGATCGGGCATAACTTTCGCTACAAACAAGACATTTGCTATCAAACAAACGACATGTTCTGTAACGTTGAAATCACGACCCCTGCCCGACTTTGGTCGGAATATCAAACTAAAACTAAATGTGCACCTAAAAAGTGCAAGTCTCGATCGAAAAGCAAACAACTACAGGAAATAAATAAGCTTGGATAATTCAATGTCAAAACAAGCATTCGGTAGTTGGGTCCTTTGTTTTCAATGTCCCTCCTACCGAACTTACAATCAAATTATTATTACTATTTCACTACACGACAAAGTTCAGACACGTCCTGCGGAGAAAATGGTCAGTTTTCCTTTACCTGGGCATTTTTTGGTCACCCTTTTCGATATCATCATCATCCGAGTCTTCCCTGTACAGCAGAAAAAGTAGGAAAGTTTGAGAAGGCATTGAAATAACGCACACCACATCATAACCAACGCTGGCCAGACATAAAATACCTCGCAACTCAAAACACGTTTCGGTAAAAGCCTTCAAGAAAAACTCACTCTTTGATAATGAAGGTCTGATTTGCCTTTCTTTTTCGAAGTCTACCATGGGAAGACTTGTCCTGTATGCCGTCATCTAAGCAACAAACACACATATTGATTGCATTCTGCATAAGAATCAACGCCATACGCCTGCTTGTGTGTGCAGGTTTCACAACAAGTTTGTTAGCCCAGTTTACATTTGCAGAATAATCGCTATCAGATTTACTCACCATCGTCGTTATAATCGTCCATTTTGGACGGATCGAAATCGTCAAGTGGATCCAGTTTGGATGCTGTTAGTCGCACTTACACATTAGCAATAAGTTGGTGTTCCAAGCGAGTGAATCGGCAGAGAACCATGAAAAGAGTCTAGCTTAGTATCATGGCGGCATCCCAGCAAATAGTTCCTGCAAGCCTCCTTTGGATAACAGCCTGACCAAATTACCTCCAGATGCGACACAAACCTGTAAAAATTCCACTAAAGTAACAGCTGGAGCGAAATGATACCCTGTGACAGAATTCTGTCGGTAAAAGAACACAATTCCAGGTTGAAAATTCTCTATGCAACGCAGCAACGACCAGACAATCGATTCGGTACTAAGCCAGACTCCAGCGCGGCTCTCTCGATAGCCAATCACAAAATATTTTAAATGTGTTTTGTTCGCTCTGACACCTACTTACCTTAAATAACCAATGGCAAGACGTGTTAGAATTTACACACCGGTGAGATAAAAACACAAAGCCGTTGGAAAAATGATAATAACAAGACCTTGATGATTATTTCGTCAACTAGCTAACATCAGCAGCTCTTATTTAAAAAAAAAAAATTGTAGACACTGTAGTTTTTCAACGGTTATTTTGTTTGCTCGATCAAGCGTAAACAACACAGATTCGACTTCCCGTGTTTGGAGCGGAAAAGAAGAGTCAAGCGAGATAGTTGAAAAAAAAGAGAACTTTGCATATTGATAATGATTAAAAAATAGCTTAATATGCTGCAAGAACGGCTCAGTAAAGATCTATATTTATAATGTGACAGTACTATCCGTTCAAGGGTCACACCTACGTGGCCAACGTAGGAGACTGGGTTCTGAGAAGACGTGATTCCTAACACGGTAATTGCGGGAAACTGCGTCACAGCTAGCCAACAGAAGGAGCTAGCGGAACATATTTTCTCGAACAAATTTCACACGTTATGCCCTCAGTGTTCTGAATATTGGCACATTAGATTTGGAACGAGTTGATATTAAGTCTTTGACTTCAGAAAGCAGAATGGTAGACGGCGGAAGGGCTAACGCTCGGAACGTCACGTATCAGCTTTGGAAACTCCTTACGGTGGCTGATTTACAACAATACGATCACAATACAGAGGATAAAAGATCACCTTGTTTAACACCTCTCTTTTTCTTATCACCACAGGTTATAAAATCTCGTGCTGGCTTAAGGAGAAGGAAGGGTTTGATCTTATCGTCAAATTGATCAAGTGAAAAGGTCGATAGCCTCTACACCTAACGTAACTCGTTTGAGAGCAAAATGTGTCTAAAAATGTACGTGATCCGAAAAACTTCAAATCACCAATGTCAGTACCAGTGTATCTTGGCTAAATTAAGCCTTCTCCTGAGCCTTACCGCTTCACGAGATCTCTTCTCACCAGTCCCTTACTCACAGAACTTTTTGTAATCCGTCTCTACCCCGATACTCCCTCCTCTCCTCTACTCACGAGGTGCGGGAGGTAGCCGGGAAAAATACACGCTAGAAAACACGAAAAACAAAACTGTTTCCATTCTAAGCCACATCAGCCAACACCCTGTTTCGGATGTTTTTTTAGCAGATCTAGCCTCGGAAGAACTAGGATTATTGCATGAACTTAAGCAGGCTTCGGCACCCTATTTTTCTTCTTCGCGTAGGGAATTTATTTCGTATTTTGCGGGCAGAAATGCTTTAACGTGATTGTCCCGTTTCTAAGAGAAATCATGCACCAATCACAATTCGACAAAACTTGAGGAACCATGAAACACGTGCACGCTGAAAACCAATCATAGCCCGCCAACGCGGTCCATTGAGGGTTGTCAAATTCAACGTGTCTCGTGGACCAACTGTACATTTCTTCCATGTTATGAGTGTACCTCGTTGGTAATTCTTTGCCACGATGATTATTTCCACAATTTTGATTGCTCTCTTTGCATCGGTGGCTGTCTGTTCAGATGTCATTGAGCTCACCGATAGCACTTTTGCATCTGGTGTGAAAGACAAGGAAATTATGCTTGTAGAATTCTTCGCCCCGTGGTAAGAATTTGTACAGTTGTTGATCATTATTCAGCTGATACGCACAGCTTGTGAACATTTCAATTTTCCTCCCACAAACAGGTGTGGACACTGCAAAAAACTTGCTCCCGAGTACGAGACTGCGGCCTCAAAGCTTATTAAGGAAGACCCACCAATACCACTTGCTAAGGTACGTCTTCATGGTTACTTAATTTCCATCTTTCCATGCATTACTTCCTTTCCTTCTCTCTTTGTATCCAAATCAACCTCACTCATTGATTTTATTGAATAAATTTTATACTTGCGGGTAATATAATTATTGTTTGTTTTGTTTGTACATGGTTTGTTTGTTCCATGCTAGTGAATATCGTTTTAATCACCAGAATACCTAGAGATCAAGACCAAAACAGCTGAGAATTGTTGATGTCGTTGATTGTGGAAAGACAGGAAATATAATTATGACCTTGAAATACCATTTTCCACCCGCAAAAAAAAAAGAAAAGAAAAAAGAAAAAAAAAAGAACAGGAGTTGTAAATTCTGAAGTGTAATTGTATTGCAAATTCGGCTAAGTAAATATAATCGCATGACAATAAAGATGAACCTGGATCGATTATTCATCCAAATTCTTTGAGAATGGTTAGAATATCATGATTCTTAAGCAATTCTCATTCGATTGTCAGAAGAGCTGCGTTTTCTATTAAGAATTTAAGCTTGGTAATGTAACTAAATTGTGCAGGTTGATGATAGGAAAATATTTGACAATCATCAACCAATCAAATTGCATCAGCATTGACCAACCAGAGTGCATCATGATGGTTGACTAGATATTCATGATAATAAAATCATAGAGCAACTGTCATGATACTACTTTCCCTCCCAGTCATTCTTGGAATTGTCTGGCAACACACTCCTCTAGTTGTGGGAGAGAGCATGTTAGTGTCATGTGACCTATAAATTACCAAAGGCCACTTGTGGCAATGTTCAACAGTAACTATTCTTGTCAAGTAGTCAAGGAGCAAAAAAAAAAAAAAAATGTCTGCGTAACAAGAGTTCAAATTTTTTGACAGTGTTTTTCAGATGAATGCTGCAATTTTTCTCAGAATATTATTACAAATTTCTTTTTAATTTACACCTGTTTTAGGTTGACTGCACTGAGGCAGGGAAAGAGTCTTGTGGTAAATATGGTGTTAGTGGTTATCCAACACTCAAGATTTTTCGCAATGGAGAATTGTCAAAGGACTATGATGGCCCTCGTAATGCTGGTGAGATTTGGTGACCTTAAAAATGAATTATTGATATGATTTATTTTTGACTTTGGAAGTAGTAATAATTTTTTAACAAATATATTTTAAATGAGTGATTTATAAGCAACTATTTGGCCCTCCTTAGTAAAGAGTACTAGAAATACCAGCAAAAAAGCTTCACCACCAGTTTGGCAACTCACATTTTGGAAAAAAGCTTTTGAAAAGGAATAAAAGAAATCACAAGTGGAGTCCTGAGAAAGTTGTTTAAATTGGTTGCTTCATGAAAAGTAAACCCATGTGAAGTCAGTAACTGATAATGCTTTGAGTCCTTATCCATAATTTTTAGCTGCAATTGTTGAGAAATCACAAATAGCGAATTGTGCTTGATCTTAAAATTATATTGAATTGTTATTAATTATTATCCAAGAGCACATGGTGTTGGTTAAAAGACACCTTCCGGACTAAAATGATTTAGAATTTATAGATTAGGGATTTCTGTTTCTTAAAAATCTGACTACCACCTGTTTGCTATAAGAAGATGTCTAATTTTTCCCACAACATTGCAACTCGATCAACATTTTGTTAGAACGCGAGTCATTTCCTCAATTTGTTTTTGTCTAGTTATTACCCCAAATTGCAGTCATTTTTTTATTTTTTTATTTTTTATTTTTTATTTTATTTATTTATTTATTTTTTATTTTTTATTGTTTACAAAGGCTCAATTTCTTTTTTGCAGCGGGTATCATTCAATACATGAAGAAACAGTCTGCACCCTCCTCCCAAGGTTAGTATTTAACCCTTGGTCGTTAAGAGTGACTAGCATCTACTTTCTCCCAACAAGGAAGGAAGTGATCACCAACTAAAAAAAGCTTTTGATTGTTAAACAAATTCTCCTCTCCAGTATCTTAAGAAATGTATATAGAGAAGAGTATGGGGAATATGCATACTGATGTTAGGGTTTAAGGGTTGAAACAGAATGCAAAGGGATGTTGCTTCTCCACACAATATCAGTATATTAGCCTTAAGTAATGAGAATATAGAAAAATATTAATTAGGGGATTTTTTTTTTGTTGATCCAATAACAAATTCTTCAAACTAACATCATAAGAATTGTATGTCAGATCGTAAAGAGAATTGATGAGATATTGGAAGTGAAAAGGTTAAGGTGCTAGATGCCATTCTTTGATTTTCTCACAAAATGTGGGGTTTTGGGGTTTTTTTTTCTTTTTCCTTGAAATGTGGATACTATCAGCTTATGCTTTTTGCAGAAATCAATGATCTGGAAAAGATGAAGAAGAAACTTGATACGATGGAATCTGCTCTTGTTGTTGGTAAGTGCTTAATGATAGCTTGCTTATAGTTAAACTATCCACTATTGTCAAGCTCCCAAAACTGGCCAATTTTTGCATTTTATGATATGCTAAAAATGAAAGTTTGCCCAAACAGTCACATTTGATGTTTTAACAGGTATCTAATTTAAAACACTACCAGCAAAAATTAAGTGTGCTTAAGGGCTAACTTTGAAGTGTTTTCTTCTGTTTAAACATGTGAACCTGTCTGCACTGGCACATTTTGCTATTCAAATAATCTTTAAAAGCTTCAAGATAAAAAAGAGTTTGCTAATTCATGAGATTTTCCAGAAATGTGGTTCCATCTTTAGCTGTCGACATTCACTTTGGAATTTTCAATAGATGATGCAACATTTTAAAAACCTCTGTTTGCCAGTAGAAACACATAGGCTGGGCTATCTTAACTTGATGCTGTTAACATTAATTGGTTTGTCCTGATGAAGTTGATTTTTTTAACTTGTAAAATAACCCAAAAAAGTTAGGGGTTCACTTTACATGTATATCAATAATGGTAGCACCAAACGTTGTCATGTAACTCGCTTTTATATCCAATTTTGTAGGTTTCTTTGAGAAGGATGATGAACTTAAAACTGAATTCATGAAGACAGCTAATGAAATGAGGGATGATTACTATTTTGCACACACAACAAGTGAAGAGATTTTGGCAGATTTGGGCCATAAAGAGTAAGTTTGGCATTTTAGTTCTGATTAACTCTTGCTTAGTCATGGGGTCACTGAAGCCTCTTGGGGCATTTATTTCTCTGTCTGCAATTATCTATAACTGTGGAAGGACTATTCATGAATCATGGACTGTTGGCGGAGGGGGGTAGTTTGGGAGAGCCCTGGTCTGAAGTGTTTAGAAATCCTAGGAATGATATATAGACAAAGCTCACAATTTTCATCAAGCTTAGCTCTTGGAAAACTGTTGCTTCTTGAAACAGATAATGTCTCCTGACAAATTTTATGTATATTTTTGCCCAAATGGAGGTTACTATGTTTACTCCCATCAAATGTTTTCTGCAACACATGGTACAAAATGTTTACGAACAGCTTGCTGTTTACTGCATAGGATGTTCACTTTTAGGTGTTCTTTGGTATGAATGTATGAACAGAAAAATATTTCTCTCCTTCCCTAAATATATCAAAATGCTCTCTCATCTTGAATTCAATGTAAATAAAGACTTTCATTAAACTGAATGTAAGGTTTGAAAATTGGGGAATATTCCATGGGGTAAATCATTGGACACTCCTCAGTTTTAGCTGGGGTGTATTTGATCATGTGACACCCACAGAACAATCATGCACAAGCAGAAATATGTCATGGGTTATTGCATATGATGTAAAGTGTAAGGCCCCTTCCTTATAAAAGAATTGGGGAAAAAATGATAAAGAAAGAAAGAAGAAAGAGAAAGAGAGAAAGAAATCCATGAAAGAAACACATCAAAGCTTACTAAGAGACATTGAGAAGTTTTGATCAAAATGCTTTCCTTAATTTGTCAATCAATTTGAACTTTTGAAGATTAGTTTATTCAAATTCTAGCTTGTGTTCAAATGCCCCACCCAAATGCCGCATGAGATCATCATTTTTTGTAAAAGGGAAGTTAAACCACCATGACTTTCTTGTTGGCCTTTTCTTCTGCTTGTGAAAGTGAACTTTTTACCTTTAAACACCTCCATATTAAAAGATGAAAGACATTTATTCCACCAGAAAGACTTGACAGTTCTGGTTCTAATTCCCCACCTCACCCAGGTAGGGTTTAAATTCCCCACCTATAGGCAGAGACAACAGTCGAACACCCATGGGTTGCTCATGGGAGGAGGAGGGGTATGTTGAATCTTCAAATTGATTGGCCCTTAACATTGCCATTAGCAATACCTCATTAATTCTGGAATATTGGACCTTTTATTAGGATTACATTTCTTTCTTTACTGAATACATGCCTTTTTTTTTTCCTTCAGTCAAGTGGTTATTTTCCGTCCCAGCCATCTTCATTCAAAGCTTGAACCAAACAAAGAAGTCTTCACTGGAATGGCAGACCCTTTTTATATCAAGAAGTTTCTCAAAGCTTCAGTTCATGGTCTTGTTGGCCACTTGACTGAGGATAATGAAGATCAATTTAAGAAACCTCTTTGTACCGTTTATTTCAATGTTGATTTTGAACGTAATGCAAAAGGTACAGTTCACTTTAACTTGTCTAAAATGCAACCATCTGTGCTGAGTCAATTGGGAAAAGTTAGATAGTTGAAGGATGAGTAGATAAGATTTTTACTGAGCAAACATCTCTCTAATGAGTTTCTTTAAAAGATGGTAGGAAAGGGGGATCCTGATCCTGTTTCATGCACAAACTTTAGAAATGTTCAAGCATCACATTTACTTTAATATGTATTTCACATGGTCTCCTTTGCAGTCATTCTGTGGAATGTCATGCAACACTCTCCCCTTAAGTTTCTCTTTGGGGGAGCATTGCATGACATCCCAAACAATGGCAGCAAAAGAGACCATATTTCACCTGTTACCAATTTAAAAGGGAAATCTACAACTCTCATCTTACCTTGCCTTTCTGTAAAATTCATGCATCATGCAATAATTTTGTGCTTATTAATGCATCACGTATAAACCCTTTAGTACCCTCCTTAAACCTTGCACCAAAGTTTGGGAGCTGCTAATGTTTTTTAGTCTTAATTCTTAAGTTGAATTGCACCGCATTTACCCCCCTATCAAGTTCGCCCCTTCGAGTTCACCCCTACCTTATGCCATGTTCGCCCCCACACTTTTTGAGGTCGACCCCATCAAGTCGAGTTTGCCCCTTGATTGAGTGATATCCAGATGAGTTGATTTGTGACGAAGGCACTAGCAGAATGTGCCAAATTTCACGTCAGCAATGACCATTTTGAATTTCGGCAATTGTGTGGAACCTGCTTGGGAAGTGGGTTGACGGAATCAACTAAATACTCTGCGTGGGATCTGGGGTTACCAGAAGTAACTGTATACACTGAACTTGTGATAAAGAGAACCACACAGTTTATCTAACGAACACAAAATGTGTTGATTGTAACAACCAGACTTGAGAAGGTGCAAACCACACTTTCATCGCGACAGCATTGCTTAAGTTGTTAGACTTGTACCCGTTTAGCTTTATTTACTGAAGAATTTACTCATCAACTTACAAATCAACTCATCTGGATATCACTCAATCAAGGGGCAAACTCGACTTGATGGGATCGAACTCAAAAAGTGTGGGGGCGAACATGGTATAAGGTAGGGGTGAACTCGAAGGGGCAAACTCTATAGGGGGCGAAAGCGGCGGATACCCTTAAGTTCCCCCTCTTGATCACAATGGTTTCCAAGACCTGGCATAAGATGTCCCAACATCTTTCTAACAATGCAGATATTGAAGTGGCTTTTGATGGCCTGATATAGGCTCTCAGTTAGAGAAGCTAGGCAAAAAAGTGGCGGTGCAAAAGTTGTACAATTTTATATTCTATTAGAATAACCAATTTCTTGCTCCAGAATGCAGAAAATGCAGACACAAATTTTTAATTTTCTTGTGGGAACATGTGTCTGTCTCCTATCTCAGCTCTTTTACCCACTTTGTTTTGTATTGGAGAAACCAGTTGTTATTTGCCAATGCATAATGAATGTAAACAAGTGGTTGAGATTTACCAGTAAATAATAACATCAGATTGACTTTTAAGGTAAAATTGAAGCTTGAGGGTATCCATGATGCATTAGATTTGCTACATACATATTTACATTCAACTTGCAATCTTGCCATCACTAGGTACGCGATATTGGCGTAATCGAATTCTGAAAGTTGCTACTGAGTTCAAGAACAAAGTGATGACCTTTGCTTTTGCATCCAAGAAAGACTTCGCTAGAAAACTTGATACATTTGGTCTATCCTCTGATAATGATGAGGTTGTAGTAGCTATAGTAAGTGATGATGGAATGAAATATCCTATGAAAGAAAAATTCAGGTATGTGTATTTTTGTGCTGTGTTGTCCTCTGCTATGTTCCTCAATAAAGTACCTTGCTCTCCTGCTCTACACTCTACTCCACACTTCTGTGTTATGTGCTATGTGCTATGTGCTATGTGCTATGTGCTATGTGCTATGTGCTATGTGCTATGTGCTATGTAGTGCTGTTAGCTGTGCTTGTTTTGTGCTGTGCTGTGCTGTGCCCTGCTGTGACTTCATTCTCTAAAGAGACATCAGTCAATAACAAGTAACATTAGTCCCAGGGCTCCCTTATTATTAGCTTTGTCCTTGACCATTATTTGAAACGGCAATGTACAAACCATAGCTTCTCACAATGGTTGAAATGGATATAATATTAAGATCCTGAAAATTTGTTGATGAACACATGCTTTTAATTCTTTCAAATGATTTTCATAACCTTGCCTTCCCTCCTCCTCATCCTCTGCATGCCACGTGCCAATCATAGCTATGGCACCTCCTCTTTTCCCCCGCCCACCCACCCAGGAAACAGGTCAAAGGGACAAGGTCACCACGGGCATCGCATCTTTAAAAAGTTATCCTGAATTTTTTCACATTGGCCATCTTCCTTGATCCACTGTTCTATTCTGTTATTTTTTTTCTCAGACGGGGGGGAAAAGAGAGAGGAAAGAAGAGGGTAGATTATGTCGTGATATTTTTAGCGACATGCACAAATTTCCAGACCAGCATGTAACTTCTCGTGACAGTGATACTACTGAACCATTCGTTAAGATCATGAGAATAACAGAAATGATCGCTAACGCAAGAAGCTCTGATTGTTCAACGATTTCTCCTTGTCAGTACCAAGGGAAATTTACAGCAAAGAGTATGGAGAATATGAACACTAATGTTTAGGTGTTAAGGGTGAATGATCAAGTTTCACTTCACCGCCATTCTCTCTGGCCTGACATAATGCTTTGCTGTTTACTTTTTAGTGTGGACACCTTCAGAGATTTCCTCAAAAACTACTTCGAGGGAAACGTTGAGCCTTTTATCAAATCTGAAGAAGTACCAGAGACTAATGATGGCCCTGTGACGGTAGGGTGTGGTTTCTGTTGATATCAATTCCCTTGTCAGATAATTAACAACCATTCAACGAAGCGGAAATGACTAGTGTTGGTAGATATCCACTGCTTGTCCTCGACACCGAGGTGTATATTTGTATTAGATAACACCAAAACAGTGAGATAATATAGCATAAAAAGAGGATTTTAACTCATTTATTCCTGCTACGATTACAATATTTTCGGGCGCAAACCGTGCGAGTTTGAGTAGCCAATCAGAGCTTGCTTTCACCGCTATGCGCTTTTTTTACTGATGCGCTAATTACCACTGCTAGAAATGTTCCTTATATTTCTCTAACTTCAAAAACATAGGGTCTCTCTTTATCAAAGTTATTAAAAGTAATGACCCCATTCATAGTTCATTAAAATGCACCAAAGTCGACAGTCGCTAAATTTATCGTCCCATGATTGATGTTGTGTCGTCTAGACTCAGTCAAGTTACTCCTTTCATTGCTATTGCTCAACTGAATTTTATTAAAGAATCAACAAGCTATATTCACAATACAATACTAGGAATCAGTAATACTACTTTTACATAGGAATGTACTTTTACAATCATATACCGATCGTGTCTTACAGGATATAGCGTGACTATAGTAACGCTTAGGTAACGCAATACACTACAATTGACCAAGACAAAATCTCTCCTAACAACACAGCAGACTAGCGGTTAGATAAATATCAGTTAGGTGTGATTATTAGTTGATCCAATACCAAATTCTCCAAACTAAAATCACAAGAATTGTATGGCAGACAGTAAGGAGAAAGAAAGGGTTACTGAAATGCCTGCAAAATCGTTAAATTATGTCTTTTGATTCGTCGTCAAACCTTCATGTAATAAAGCATATATGTTTGTTTATGTTGTTATCTATTTTGTATACTTATTAGTTAATTGATTTTTCCTGCAGGTTGTTGTTGGCAAGACTTTCAATGAGATTGTGAACGATGAAACAAAAGATGTGTTGATCGAGTTCTATGCTCCATGGTGTGGCCATTGCAAGAGTTTGGAACCAGTCTACAAAGAACTAGGAGAGAAGGTCGGCTACATGGCATGGAATTTTCAATTTCAATTTTTCTTTTTGTTAGGAAAGTAAAATGTTAAAAATAAGACGTTAAATTTCTTTTGTAGCTGGCTGACGTGAAAGACATAGTTATAGCCAAGATGGATGCCACGGCAAATGATGCTCCTTCACCGTACGAAGTTAGCGGGTAAGTCGAACGCGGGGACAACATGCCATTTTACCGATTTGACACTTAATAGTGTCTACGTTCTTGTCTCTTTTTTGCTTTGGTCTCTTGCATCCTTCTTGATCCGATGGTTTGTCTTTACGTTTCTTTTGTCAGTCGCTCGTTCGTTAGTTCGTTCCTTCGTTACGGAAGTGACTCGTTCGTTCGTATGCCTGTTTGCTTGTTAGCTCATTCGCTTGTTCGCTCGCCTCTCGTTTGCTCACTCAGTGACTCGCACGCTTCTCGTTTGCTCATTCGATGGCTCGCATTTTGTTCGTTCTTTCGTTCGTTCGCTCGTTCGTTTTCTCGGTATGAGAGTTATTCTGTTGCCTCTATCGGTAAATTCCGATCTATTACATTGGCTTTCATCAAACATGACACCGCGTTACCTAAACGGGAAAAAAGGGGAAAATTGAAATAGTTTAGCTAAATTGACCGTGTTACACGTTGCAATAGGAGAGATGTTGATTCTTTCGTTGGTTAACTAAAACGAGAAGCCACTAAACCATAGGTCCATAGGAGAAATGAGGAGGGGGGGGGGGTATTTCTTAGCAAGTTTTGGACAAGTGTGCCCTCCCCCTCCCGAAGCCCTCAGCAGTCCATCGTTATTTCTGTTATAAAGGCTGTTGTTATGGTGGAGAGCTACTTTATGCCAAAATGTATCATCAAAGTTGGCATAACCTAATAGACTTGCCTCACTTTGCACATTTCAAAACATTTCAGCAACGTTAAATGTTTCCTTTCGCCTTTTTTTTGCAGTTTTCCAACAATCTATTTTTCACCAATGTACGGTAAGAAAACGCCCAAAAAATACAACGGTGGCCGAGATGTTGACTCTTTCATTGATTATTTAAAACGAGAAGCCACGAAACCATTTAAAGTTCCCGAGAAGAAAAAGAAGAAGAAGAAGGACAAGAAACAGAAAGATGAACTTTGAACTGTGGTTCCTTCGAACATTTTGTAAAACTAGATTTAACAAATTTAGGCCTAAACTAACTTTGGAACCCTTTTTTTAATCGAAGGCGTGGGGCCTGGTACCTGATTCCCCCAGTCCTACTCCTTCTTCTACGTCTCTGTAACAATGTCGTGTGGGGTAAAGTGTTTGAACGTTTAAATCTCATTTATTAATATTGCTGATGCGTGAACTATTGAAATGTCCTGCTTCTGTAAAAGATTTATGTGGATTGAGGGTATATTTTGGCTGTGACATTAAATGGTTTGTTTTGGAGATGTGCCTTTTTCGGTGAATCTTTCTTTAACAATTGGACTCTCAGGTACGTTTACGATTTCATGATTCTTGAGGTTCGTTGGAAAAGCTCGCGATGGTCGCGAAACTGCAACTTTATAAGGTCTGCGGTTTTCCTGAATTAAAACCAGGTTTCGGTAGCGAAGAAATGTCCCTCGTAAATCTGAGTGCTCCTTCAAAACGATTCTTCAAGGAAGTTGTGTCAAGGCTTACGTTAAATGAAAACTCTCTGTAAGCGACGATTTTCTTCAGAAGTCTGAGAAGAGCTGTTGCTTTAACTTGGTTAAGACAGGGAATGTCAATTTGAAACAGTTACGAAAAGTTTCCATGGGGCTATTGTATATCAAAAACTGCTTACTCACTTCTTTGAATTACTTCCCAACCCGAAAAACAGTTACAAATGTTCTCACACGTTCAATTCAGCCCTATCCTCGTCGTCAGTCGAAGTACACCTAAGAGAAAAGTACCAGTGACTTTTGCGTTTCAAAGCCGCGTTCTATGTGAGTAAAAAATGGAACTACAAAAGAACGTAATTTGACCGCGTTCATGTAGTTCTCTTTGTCATTGCATCATTCGTACCGGAGAAACCGCGGTCGTACTGAATTACCACTGTATTAATGGCGTGCTCGAACTGTCTAGGAAGCCAACAGACCAAGTACTGTACAACGACTGAGCCTGAGAGGCCCGAGAAGCAGTTGAGACTCGTGCTACAATCGCACAATAGCGAGTGTGTAAATTTACACGTGTAAGCCAGTCCCTCTTCCCTATGGAAATAACAGCGGTCACATTAAGTGCGTTGTGAGGTATTTTCGTTCCGAGGCAGAAAACTTATCAGATAAAAGCTGGAGAAAACTGTGTAAACAAAGATCATTGCGTCACAATGCAAATATATATTGAGCCACTGTGAGGCGAAAAGAGAAAATTTGGCTTGTGCAGGCGAAGTAAGATTTGAATTCCAGCGGCCAAATTTGACGAATTTTACAAACGGAAATTCGATAAACGCGGGATACTATTTTGTGCGGTTTTTGTATTTTATTTATACGTAAATTATTCTGCGGAGTTGGATGTTCACCTTAATTGTGGATCTCTCCGTGATTTTCCGGAACCTTAGCTTTTGAAATAAGAGCAACGTTGCATTGCGGCAAGACCAACAATTACAAGTTCATAACCATGTTTCACCTGCAGATCTTGTACTTTATGCTCGAGTTGGCCATAGGTATTTTTTTATTAGATAAAGGAGATAGCTGAATTTATTTGACATGTTGTGGTGCTTTAATCGATTTCTTTTTGTGTGTGTTGTTATGCCTTATTCCATATTCATTAATTGAGGTTTGCTTTTTCTAGGGAAGCGTACGTTTTTGTATGATCAACTATGAAATATGTAATAAAATCTACCGATTAACTTCTCACCTTACGTAAGATTTATTTTGAAATTTACATCGTGCAATGGTCTCAAAAAATCACAAAATTAACCACAAATCACAAGGAAATAACTCAGTAAAGCCTTTTATTGTATTAAAGTGTATACAGCCTGTTTTCGTACTTACTTACGTTTTTGATAAACAACAGCGGAGATGGAAATTGTTTTTACCGAGCTGTTGCTCCTAGGGGGGATGAAACAGGCGACGAGACGAGGAGATCAGTAGGTGGTGTTACAGTTTTTTTTTTCAGAAAAATTTAAAGGTTTTTTTAGCTTCCACTCTTCGCTTCAGCTTCAAAAACAGTCACGTTTTCTTCAACACTAATATTTTGTACAGTGATTTCTTCGGCTGATCTATTTGACTGATCATGGTAGGTTTCTGTAACTGCTCAGTAGTTAACGTATCCCACGGTAACACCATTAGGCGTCTTGTTCAACAAGCATTGGGCAGCCTCTGAGCAAGCTTTCCCTCAGGGTGTGAATATATTATGTGTCAGTAATTATGCGTGAAAATAACTCTTCCACCACTATTCAGTCTTACCTAACAACACATGAGGATATCATCTTGCTTATGTGCTGCAGTTGTGGTAATTACAGAAAATAGACCTGAAAAATTCAATGTTCGACGGGATTGGAGCCCTTGCCTCTCAAAGGCTAGCTGAACGCTATTGTGTAACTTAGTTCATGACGAGAGATTTCCCTGTCTTTTTTCGTTGTTGTTGTCGTTGTTACTGCTGATTTTTGTCGTCCTTTTGTCAGCTTGTTTTCGTTTCTTTGGCTAACTGGCTTTAATGAGAGACTTGAGTGATTACCGATTGCTTGAACTGTCACCAACGAGTTTGTTTTTCGCGCGTAGTAGCTCGAAGTTCAAATCACCGTAGGGTTCCGGGGGAAACCCATCAAAAAATCCCCCACTAAAGCCAAAATCTCTCACAAAATATTCTAAGTTATCATCCGGTCATTATTTTGAGAAATTGTGCTGTTGTGGCGTGTTTTACCGCCCACTACCAATTCTGACTCACGCCACGCGGGAGTCGACCGGAAAATAAATAAAATGAGCACACCTCCAACCCAAAAGATACATGTTCTAGATTTATTAAGAATGTTATTTAGTTCAGCTATTTACGGGGTATTCATAATTAACGTTCGTTGAATAGAGAAATCTTCATTCACAAAGAAATCCAGGGGCAAGAAAAACCATTCATTTAAGGTAAAAGAGTGAAGTGATTTGAGGGATTCAGTCTTACGGAGTATCGAGGAGGCGGCCTATTTTAAATCGTACAAGACTACATGAAACTGAAATCTTAGTAATAGTTATTCGATTTTCTCTTGCAACTGAATTTCTTGGTTATCCAATCTCTTTTTTTTCAACCGAATCAAACTCAGTTTTCGAATATTCTGTGAAAAGATAAAATATTTAGGTGATCTAAACTTTGGGAAACTGTCAACAATACTCATCTGTAAACCATGACCTTGCCACCCTCAATATTGAGAGAAAGGAAGAGTTAAAAATGTTTTTAATAAGACATCTTTGTGATGTAAATCCGGCTTTAGAAAACGATGACGCATTTCAGCGTATTAGCGTGCTAGCCAAGTCAGCCCTCTAAAGGTTAAAATGCGGATAATGGATAAATGTTCAAGGAAAGACAAAAGTTACAGTTACAGTTACGCTAATCTTTAGAATTTTAAGATTGTTTTTTGGCTATAGTATAATCCCGTTTTAAAAAGGAATGTACGTGATCCTTCTTGTAACAAAGAGTCGCACTTTTATTGCTTTGCATTACAGAGGAAGTCAAAATAAACATTTCAGTTTTTCCTTCTCTCAAGATGCAGATTAAAGTGTTTGAGTTGGCCCCCAGCTTGGTGAAAGAGGAAAAAGTTTCCAAAATATGAAAAATACAAGGATAATTTTTTGGCTATGAAATACACTTCATGAAATATGCGGCAGTGGTAAATAGCTTATAACCCTGTAATTTTTGCTTCGTGTGGAATAGCCAGGGTTTGAAAATAACACTTACAAACACATTTCTCTGAAGCACTTCCAATGGCGGTTTATAAGGTACTCGTGTGTCAGAAGCCACAAAATGTAAACTGTTTTAGCTTGAAAGAACAGCAAATACTTTTTAACCGTGATTTTATAATCCTCTTGTCTTTAAAGGTCGCGTTGTGGAAAAAAGACTTTCTGTCAGATGTTGTGTATTTGTTACTTGGGAGAGTTTTCGAACCAAAAAAAAATGATTGTTTTTGTTTGTTTTTTATTTTATTTCATCTCTTTTGTGATTTCTTTTTTACAGTGGCAAAATCTTTACTGGCACATTTAGTAATTTTTGCTTTTTCCCTTGTAGCAGTAACTGAACGCATGTGATTCGACTTATAAACATCACGCGATGTCTACGGATCCGATTGTCAATAAGCGCCAAGTGAACCAATCCCTTCGGCAGATTAAAATTTACCAAGCACACCCGTACATACGCATATTTTACGCTCAGACATTTGCTAATCTAAGGCTACTGTGAAGGAAAAAACTGAGAATCCGTGCAAAACTTTTTTGAATGTCCACAGTAACCCTAAGCTCTTCTGTCACGAATTCAAATAGTTGCCAAAACTGTGGCCAAAGTGAAAATTGGATGATGTATGGAGAGCTTAAGGCTCATTGATTTCAGTGCTACGTTTAATCCGGAAACGTTAAAAGATTTTTTTTTAATCCTGATAAAATGTGCCGCAGAAACTTGTAAACAACTTAACAAGAATTAACACCATTAAATCTCGCTCGCTGTCGACAAAATTTTGAAATCTGATTTTAAACCGCTTAAAACTTGGAGGACATTGCGTTCAACATTTTTGACGATTAACCTTCTGGGCGGGGTTCATGCCCCAAACAATAAACTTAATACGCGTTGAAAAGACTTATTATCTTACTTAAGATTATTCTTTGGGTATTTTTTATTTCACACTGCTGAAAAACAATGTACTACTTGTTCTAAATCTGAAACCGTTTTTGGCTGAAAAATTATTGACTTGAAATCTTGAAATTCTTTTGAATTGTTCTTTCAAGGAGGCCTGCATTCCATCGAAAAGCCTCTACTTTCTATGAACGTGAGTTAAAACTTTCACTTGAGAGATTAAAAAGTGTAGTGAACAGAGCTCTTTTACAACCAGTCCCGCCTCTCTAAGACCGAGGTTTAATGCCGAGGTGGCTAAAAGCGAAAGCTTAAGGATGACAATTGCTAGGCAATTGGGAAATAGTACTTTTCAACATCTTGACCAATAATCACAGCCTCCGGGCCAGCGGGTATCGTACACACCCGGAAGAACGATTATTCACACTTGCAGGCTTGATATCGGGCTAACTATAAACCGCAATTTTTTTCTCCTTTTGTTTATTTTACTCCCAAATAAGCTTGAAATTAAATTGCTCCAGGAATTACAATTACTGGGATGCATGTAAAGCGGGCTTAAACAGAGCCCAATTCCTCTTTGCCTCCGATTTTGCTCAAGGAATTCAAAATCTTTGCAAACGTGAGAACAGAAAACGAAACGGGTTTTTTACCAAATGTTTGCCGTGCATTAAGTTTCAAAGAGGGATTTTAGTCGGTGGGTGTTTTCATTTGATTTAGCAGGTCAGCAAAGTCAAGAGCTGCTCAGTTTTCTTGAGGAAAAAAAAAACTAAAGAAGTTATTTTTCAGTTGTATATATTTGACTTTACAGACCAGTTTTTCATCTTAATATGCTATTTTACATATAGGAAACTCTAAATGAAAGTCTACATGTACTCGGTACGACAAGCGTTCAGTTGTGGGAAATTCAAGTTTAAAAGTTGCTTTTCCCATGTGAAATGGTTATCATTCCTGACAGAATTAAAATTAATGGTAGGATAATTCGGATCGTGGCGATATCGTATGTTTCTTTATTACGATTCTATCTCTTTGGAGATCCTTTTTTTTTGGCAACTGATCAAGAAATAAGTATTTCCTTGTGGTTAGTTATCCGGTATAAACTCGCACAAGCGATCGTGTTAAAATTTTTTTCATTACTCATTTTTTTTTCTGTTTTGACACACAAGCGCTCTGTTTATAACGAAAATAAATACAATATCTATATACGTGACTGAACTTGATTGTATTAGAGTCATACAGTTTCCAGTGGATAATTTCAACTTTCCCAGCCGTGATCACAATATTTTCAAAATTTTAACTTGATCATGCCACTGGTAGCCTGTCTTAGGATCGTCAAGTTTCGATGATGTTTTTGATCCAAAAAAATATTCATGCCTTGGTATCCGTTTTATAGGCAATTCGTAAGATGATAAGCTGTATTTAATCTGAGGAAACTCGTCTGCAAGACGAAAGTGCTTTTGAGGTCTTGAACAATCACCGTATTTACGCGTTCGCTCCGCGGACACAGAAAAGTGAGCGATACTGCAATTATTTCGTGATTTTTTTCTCAACAGCTTCTGTTTCTAGTTTTTCTTCTTTGCCGTGGTTGATCCAGCAAGCCAAAAACCACCCAAAGTAAGCACTCGTTCAAATCAAATGGAGATAGTGGTCACAAATTCGAGATCATTACCGAATGCAACAGGCTTCAGTCAGTTACCGACAAACACTGCCAGTCTAACTCTATTTCTCAAGGATGCGCGCATTTGAAACTGGCTTAAACCATATTCCATTTTAAAGCTGTACGTTATCGATTAATATTTGCATGAAACCTTTCAAGTTGAATGCTTGTCACCACGGGTGGAAAAGATTGTCTAGGAAACCAGACGGAAATTTTGTGGGCCCAACTAACTACCATAGTGAAGTTGAGCGGGAAAATTCTGAACATTTTGAAAACACGTGTGGTCGAATTAAGCGGGGTTAACTTCTATTGTTCTTGTTATTTTTCATGAATAGGACCATTATCGAGGTTTACCCTAAAACGAAAGGAAAAATTTTGTTTACGTCCAAAAGCTTGTTGTCTTTCATCGTAATCTTCCCACCCAATAGTACAAGAAAATTATACCCATCTGTTGAGCAAGGGGTTCTAAACTGCGCTTTCTTTTTTCATGTACCATCGTAACAACACTGTTTTTGCAGCTGCCGAAATCAAGATGGTCTTCCAGCATGGCTGATACAAATGCTCCAATTATAAAACATATGTTTTTCTTTTTGTGAAAGCACTTTTTCCTCTTGCGTGCCTGCCCGTTGTGCAATCCCCAACACATATTTTTTGTGCTTAAGTTCAAGCTCATAGAGGTTCTTTTTTGTTTCGAAACTGAAAATAATATTGTGTGAAAATGAATTGCAAATCGTACCGCGAACTGAAAGCATTTAGGGAGCTTTCTTTTGTTTATCGACACAAAACAATTCAATAGGCACTACAACACGACTCTAGGGGGTCCAAGCAAAGAAATATTAGTTTATTTTGCCGCACGCCTTTTCATACGCTAGTGTTAGTTTGCAGTTCATAACTTCAATTTGAATATTTTCGCTAAATTTTGCTTCTTTTAAGAGCCGCGGGACGGATTCTGTTTACGTAGTCACGAGCCTTTCATATGTTAAGCGAAGTGTTTACTCTCGTACTAATTTTCCAATAAACTTCATAATTGTGTGTCTTTGAAGAGATCTCTCGGGGTCATTGAATGTCACTGGCGACAATAGCAGCATAGGGGGATGGCTAATGAAACGTGGCAGATAAAGCCAGCCTTCTGGATAACAGTCTGTTTGAGTTTATTTGGAGACAAGATCCAATTTGGAGCTGTTTTGTACAGTACAAATCAGTAGTGCGCCATAATTAATCTATCTTCCGGTGGGGTCGATTTTGAGCTTTAAAGACTCCACCCCAAAAATTAAGATGGATTGCAGTTAAATTGGAGCACTTTAATTTACAAGCATACGTAAAAATAATTTGAGTACGAAGCATGCAGTTAACGACATTAAAGCATAAAAGATTTTTGGATGTTTGACGATGAAAAATTGCGGTCCGTTTATTGAGCGGTGGCGTTGTACCACGCGACAGGTAAGTTCAGGATACAACTGCGAAACAAAGAAAATTGACATAATTAGGCAAGAGAGACTTTGATGAATGACAAGTGAAGTCAATGCTTCTTTAAGAACAATGTTTACGCTTTCTATGGACATAAAACACCGCCTATAGACATGATAAACCACCAAAAGCGCGGGCCATCTTTTCGCCATATGGTCATTTCTAAGAGTAAAGCGAGGCAACAAGAAAAGTTAAAAAAGTATCTTCACAGCGTTGTCGTTTGGATCAACTCTGGTAGAGGGGTGAAGGTTATGGAAATAATACAAGATTTCGGAGATTGTGTAAGCTTTGCAAAGCTCGCTTTAATAAGCATAAGAATGGATACCGAAGAAGGCTGTAACACTTATCTAATTGCTTTTATCTCGCAAAACGTAAACACCGCAATTTGTCGACCCAAGTGATCGCTGGTTTAATTTCATCGACCAAGAATAATTCTCGTTTTGTAGTCGTTTTGGATCAAATAGAATCAAGTGTAAAAAGCAGAGACTTGGAAATGTTAACGCCTAAATTTCGTGAACAGGTTTAGAAGTGTGCAATAAACCCGTATGTGACAATGTCTCGACGCGAATCCTTCCTATGCGATAAAACAGGACTCGATAATTAAAAGCACGACTTCGAAATGGAGTAAATATTTGTTGCTGGATTATAACGTTCTTACAGAGGCCGTTCTGTAAAAATGTTGTTAGTTCCTTTTTTTCTTTCTTTTTTTTTTTACAGAAATTATCATAAGCCATGCAATTATCGTTTCTTAGCTGTCCTTTATCTAGATAATTTCCTTTTAGTAACCAGACAAAATCGCCTCTGTATAATTTCTTGGGAATTTTGCAACTGCCCCCCAGCGAGTTGACGCTTCAATGACAGAAAAACAAACGCGGCGGAAAACACACTAGATAGTGGCGAATGAAAAATTTGACCTGTTCCTTCTTTAAATTTGAATTTTTAGAACTGTAACGAAATTTAATTCAATTAGAAACTATTCTATAGATAAATATATATGCTTCGATTGAGGTATGTTTTTAACATTTCCACGAATTACCATCGTCATTAGATAAGGAAATTAAATAACACTCGATCTTAAACATTTAGCCGTAGATAACATCAGCAAGCCGCATTTTCCGTTTTGAGTCATCGTGTAAGATCTCGCATCAGTAAGATGAATTTTTTTTTGTGGAAAACCGTCGATGGCGACAATAAGAACGCGATAATTCTGAAAAATCTGGGGTAGGAAACAAGGAGGAGCTTGATGAAAGACCAAACATGGACAAATACATGAAAGGAAATGGAATACGAGATCGATATGGGACGCCGCGGAAAATGAAAAACATCACACAGGAACCTTTTAGCAACACAAAAACACAGATCTCAATTGATGATCAGATTTATTCGAACATTTCAGCGTGTGTGTGTGTTTCTTGTGTGCATTGTCAAAATGCTTGTACTGTGGATTTCATAAATTAATTGAGAATGTATAAAACAAATAAATTTCTATGCACTTGCCCTCTGATCCGGTGCCCGAAGAAAAATATTGGCATAAAGATATAAAAATGTATGTCTCTAATACTCAAGTGACGAATTTTTTTTCTTACAAACGGTATGTACATTTCTGACAATTTCATAAACAATCTTTCACTTTCGCGGGATATCTACACCGATTTAGTTTCGGTCCGCCGTCTCAAAAATGCGTCGCACTCTTAAAAACTACAAGTAGATTTTGAAAGATTGAAATAATCTCACTTCAACTGGAATTTCTTGACAGGCCACAGATAAGAATCGCCGATACAGATCATAAATTACTGTACTTTGAAACTGCCATTATGCGCATTTCGGCTCTAGTTATCTTGCCAAAATGAACAAGGAAAACAGTAGAACCGTGAGAATGGCGAATGAATGAGACAGTGTCTGTGAACTTGAAACTGGTATTTTAACTGGCCATGTTGGCTTGTCTGTCCGTGGTTCCGTCGTATTGTACGACTGTAGGTCTCTCAATGTTCCAATTTCATCCAGCAGGAATGAATCGTCTAAAGCGTGCCACGCAGCGGCTGTAAAATTCACGTTTCCCGTTGTCAAAAGATCAAATAAACATGAATCCAGATAGAAGCCCGTGATTTTCGTTTCAGTGCAGTTAGCATAGGCCTCTGCGCGAGACATTTTGCTCCTCCGTGGACGCATTTTCGCGAGTTGATTGTCCGTAAATGATAATAGCTCTCGGTAGTCAATTCTTTGGCGAGAAGGACATCCCGTTACACAGAGTCCCGTAGACGGGACAGAAGACAGAAGCTGCTCGGGAATTTTAACGTGAAATGTCAGAAAATCTCCGACCTGTCGGATAATGATCGTGGTGCTGATGTAACAGATTTTTATCTCAATATGAAATCGACGTCCCTTTTTCCTCTGGAAGATTTCAGCGGGGCAGTCTGCAGGTCCAGTCCGTTGTGTTCCATCATGGAACTCAGCGGGAAGCGAACTCGCTTCGGCTCGGTAAATTTTCTGATCTACGCAGCCCTTTCCATTCGCTTTTATCAGCACTGTGATCTAAAAGAGAAAATATGAGTGCAGCGATTAACATACACAGTCACCAAATCGCGATCCATCAATTTTGGCAGCCTCTTGTGCGAGCTGTGATGATGGATTGCTTTATTTCAGAAACAAATTGCATGATGATATGTGATTAGTTTCATCACAAAAGCGAACGAGATCGGTCAGTGCAACGAACGATTAGAACAGTAAACGGTTAATGAATGCAGCGGTTGGGCACTAAACTGACACCGCAGCCGTTTAGCAAACCCATTGGGAAACACACAAGCTTGTGAAATTGACAAGCGGCACAGCGCTGAAGACATGCCGTGTTTCTGTCAAGCAGTTGGAGACCATATTTGAATAGTGTAAGGAAGCCGTAAGCTGTAGGACGTGTATGCATAATTCAAAAGCCTGTGTTGTTTGGACACGTTCCGTGTAGAGAAGTGCGCAAATTCAAAATAATTTACCAGTACTTACGGTGTTCGTGGCTGTAGCGCTTGAACCCGCTACCAGCGGCACGTTGGTAACTTGCACAGAGAAATAATTATTGTCAATAAGCGGCCACGCTCCCTGAACGACGCAAGTTTGACGTTCCTCCGTAAATGTTTTTAAATGTGGGTCCCCGAATAATGCACACAATCGAAAATGGTGTGGGTTTAGCCTAATTTGTTCTTTAGAAGGTTTGAGGTCCTCAGATGTAAAGTTCAAACAACCAGGTCGTTTCGTGGTTGGCTTAGTTGGAGACTTTGTACCGATCAGAGCTGTTTCGTTTGTAGGAAGCGAAATATTCCCACAATTTCGGGCTTTCATTTTCATCGGTATCAAAGTCGATATTGTAAGAAATTGAAGATCTGAGCGACAACTTTTGACTGTCTTTTTTACGTCCTCTATGCAGCGTAAATAAACAGCCAAAGCGGTGCAGATTTCTTGGTTGTTCTCACCGACCGCTTTTCTAGTCCTAATGTACGGCATAGTGCAGCGGTCGCTGATAATTTGCGTACACTTTTGTGTCTCTGCTGTGACAACCAGCACTACGAGCACAAATGAGAGAACGAGTAATGTGAGTATATTTACATTTAAAGCCATCACAACATAAGGATTACTCGGTGAATCGTATCGAATAGTAACGAACGCGCGATCCGAGCGTTCGATTGAAGAGTCTACTCACGTAGAAGCGGAAATAAACAAGTCGTGAGCAACACGCGGCACAAGTCAGTTTTTCGTCGTTTCAATCGAAAACTCATGTCCCTGTTAGGCTGCCGTCTGAACTGTCGCACATAACTGCATGTAGACCATGTAACACTGTCACAATTCTGTTCTTCCTCGCGAGTCGATCGCTCGATCCAGTCCAGGCCAATTTGCTTGATGGGAATGAAAACCAAATGACTCAATTCACTTATCAATCAGAGAGTTGACAGCTCCAATACAAAGATACTGATTAACAAGGCCGTCGCCGCCCCAAGTGACCCTTACAGGCGATTGAAAACTTTTCACAAGTTACGATCGCGATTCCGTCGCAAATTTCTAACAGCAAACGTTCACTTTGGCCAAGCCACGTTCAAATAAAGGGCTTGGGTAAAGAAGCCGAGTTCTTATAGGGGGCTGTCGTTTTTTGAGTAGCCCCCTAGTGTGGTTTCCCGTCACAGTAGAACCACCGAAGCAGCTGTCATTGTAATTAACAACAAGTTCTTTTCTTTGTCGTCATTGGTTGGCGCTGGGTAGAATTATCGCCCGCGGCTATTCAAAGTACCCTTGCATAACAGACCAATCGGCCGTCCGTATCCAGCTCGGAACTCGTACATAATTGAGCGGGTTGTCATTCATCATTTCTCCTTTTGTTCCCTCGCTCGCTTATTGGCGGAGACTTGTTAAAAATTACAAAGGGGGAAGGAGTGTTGACAGTACCACCGGGGGATTCCGACTTATGCTTCTAACCTCAAATAACAAAAGCTTGCTAGAGCTTACTGCCACATACGGCTACAAATAAAATCTTCGCGGTGAAACCAAGCAGAAATCCTTTCCCAGGTGACAGCATGTGACAGTATTTAAGCTTCCTAAATCCTTCTATAGCTCGACCAAACCGCGCAAGCTATTAATGACACACTTCTGTTGATTTAGCTTAATTATACTTTTGTAGTTCGACACTTCAAAAATTACAAATGTCATATTTGGGAAGGGTTCGAGACAAAGATAACATAAAAAGCTTTTCAAAAAACAAAATAACAGAATTATAACTCTACAATAAGGCTGTAAATTGTTGTTTTCTTCGTTTTCGGATATATTCAACATGCTTTCGAAACGCGGTTTTTTTCCACCTTGAGAGCATGGTATAAATAAGTTATTCGAGGAGTGAAGAAGCGGTCTTGAAATGCGAACAGCGTGCTGCGAAGCTGCCAGGTCCTTATCCCAATGATATGCTGTGACGCCCACGTCTAATGAATATTGGTCTTCTTTCACGTCGCGAAGACACAAAAATCTTTTTCCGGTGGTGTCATTAAAGGTTTTCCGAGCCCCTCAAGAACGCATATTTCACAAGCAAGCGCACAGCGTGTGAAATTGAATCACAATGGTTTAGAATCTCTGGGTACACAGCGAGAAGCTTCGAGGGAAAGAGAAGTAATTTTCAGTCTTTCGATAATCAGCAGTCGAGCCACTGAGCCTTTCTTTGAGTCAATTTCCTGTTGTTTTACGAGTTTGAATAAAACAAGTTTGCAACGAGTTCTAACTGCTCAACAAATTGTCTATTAAATTTTAACTACTTCAACTTAACTTCAGCTATCTGTGGCTAAACATTTCTTGCATCTCTTTTTAGCTTAAAAGGCTGTTTGGTAAAATTGTAAGACGTCCCCTGACGTTTGAGCTCTTTAAATTAAAATTAACCAGTTTATCAAAAAGTGAATCTCTAAAAGTATACTGTGCAATTTCTTGTGATGCTTTAAGGTAAATTTCGTCAGTTAGCTCAAAGTTATTGCGGTAACTTAAACAACATTCAACGATTGTTCAAAGGAGTTTTCAATCCTTCAATTGAAGGTCGTGCCCCGCTGTTGTTACAGAATGGAATTATCCGGCGCAATTTAAGCCCTGGCATGGAGGAAAGTTTGTAATAACATACGACAAGCAGCGATGTTTGTTTGGAATCTAGAAAGGAAAATTAAAATCTGTGGGAGACAGAGGTTATGCAGATAAGGTGGCCCCGACACAGTGGGTCATTTTTGTCCAAAAAATGAACACATTTCAATTTCCAACTGGGTCTGAGCTGATTACGGACAAATTAGTTTTCTCGACCAACTCAGAATTCACGGCACGATGTAACAATGTCTTGTTTACAAGCAGTTGAAAACCAACAGTTTCTTTTTGAATCGTCGGATTAAGACGAGTCACCGCGATCTGAGAAACAAGGGCTATTTGTGGAACCCATGAAGTACTGCTGTGAAGCGACGTGAACTGAATTCCAATGAAGTTCTTTCTGTGCTAAATGCACAAAGAGGATTTGAAGATATCGTTTGGATTTGATCAAGAGTTTCATTCGTTGACCTGTTGTTGGGATCTTAAGAAGCTGTCAGACAGAACTATCAAGTTTTCAAGTGAGACAAAAGTTATTCACGCCAGGAAAGATTTGTTCGACGAAAAGATATCAGCAACGTAAAAGAAATATTTCCTTTGAATCAGTGGAATATCAAATTCTTCTCAGTCTAACCGCCGGTAAAATACCTTATGCTATGTTATTCTTAAGCGAGGTTTGAACTGTTTCAGTTTATAGCGTTTATCGTCCGGCAAAATCGAACTTAATATTGATAGTTCTCTTCGCCACATTTACAATCAGTTAAATTAGCCCCTCGAGGTCGGCAGGGGTCCTTGTATAACCATTAATTAGTTCTTCACTACAACTAATCCGGCCCCTCACCTTTAAAAAAGCGGCGAGGCTTAAGATTAAAAAAAAAAAATTGATTCAACTGAAAATTGTGTCTTTGAGATGTGTGCGACATATCAATTTAGAGAGGGTTTATAAAGACTGTCACAAGGCAGAATTGTTGTGGTCACTTTTTTCAAGCGAAACAATCGGAAACCACACTAAATAATGAATAGGGCGGTCCGAAATTTATTCAGGACACGGTAGATTTAGTGTCGTGGTTGATCTGCATTCTGTTAGCTTGATTTTACGAGCAATTAGTTTTGAATTAGTGGTTTGTATATAGACACACTTTGAATTTTTTACGGTTTTCACACCAAACCCACGCCACCTCGTTTCGTCTTGACACCGATTCCTTTAACACAAACTTTATTTTGATGTCGCACAGCGAAGAAATTTGGTGTAAACTTTACCACGCATTCCTTATATTTATATCAACTTAAGATAAGTTGAAATGAATTTGGCTTCTAGTTGTAACTGAAAAATTCAAAATGGAGGAAATAGTATTTGAATATAAAATAAGGTTGTTAAAGCACGCTTCAACTGAAGGTGACTGTTTAAGAACTGATGTAAACACATGCCACTAGAATACAAAACTACATAGAATTCTGCCCTCAAGAGCAAAGGTTCGTTATTTTTTTCAGCCACGTGTAACAAGTCTTCTGTTACGGCCTGCATCACAAAAGAGATAATTTCAGACTGTGCGGATTGCCACTTTAAGCTGTCTTATCAATAAACGCCTTTAGCGACCTGAAATATTGACGGGAAAGGTGTTAAGTTCTGTTAAGAGTCATCTTAAAACGCAAGATTGGACCAGAAGCTCGCTCACACAAATGTAGACCACGACTTTGTGCTCAAAACCGAATTCAATATCAGTAACAACAGAAAACCGTACTTGGTCAGAAGTTTTCTAATCAAGTTCACTTTACACTTAATTATAAAATTTTTGAGGTAGATTTAACTCGAAGTTCATTTTCGTGTGTTTCAGTATAACTTTTATATTGTTTTGAGTACGATAGGAAATCCAGGAACTTTTCCAAGGACTTGAGATAAAAACTCAGACAGCAAGCTCGATGAGCACTCTCACACACACTAAAAATATCATAGATACATAAACACAACTAAACGTAAAAATATTTGGGGAGTGATTGATGACAAGAGTCCATGTTCATCGGAAGAGGGCAGATGATAAAGTCACATGAATGGGATCTCAGTGAAAGCTGTTATGCAATACAAATCGTGTCTGGCTCAAATATTAAAACTGGCATTTATTCGGCACAAATATCGATGAATAACTTGCATGAATATCAGCCTAAATATCGATGACTTAAGCACTTTTGTAGCTGTTATTCAGCTCTTTAAAAAAAGAAGAGAGGAACGATTCGGTGTTAATAAAACTTAGTTTTGTTGATGTAAATGCTTGCACCGTGAAATCAAGATCTTCTAGCAATGAACTCTCCTAACAGGTTTTAATCTTCTTATTAGGGAAAAAAGCTATTTTTTACTCTTTTTAAATTATGATAAACTTTCCCACCATTCGGAAGACATGAACTTTTTAGCGACGTGTCAACAACAGTCTTTGCATCTAATGAGTTACCCGTTCTTATTTCCTTTGCATAATTGCCCTGGTTGATGTCGGCTAAAACCTTTTTTCTGCTAAGCTGTTGATCTAGAATCGTCTCTTTCGCTATTATTTCCTTTGCCTCACTGTTATGTTTTCTCAAACTCTTTTCCACAAATTAAGATCATTCTCTTCCACCTGTCTAGTTTAAAGACGGTTATTATATTGAATAATGTTTCTTGTCTCGAAAAAACAACTTAGCGAAGAACTCATTACGATAATCATTTAGAAAAATGACTAATTGCTCTGGGAAATTAATCTTCCAAAGTCTTTAATCATCAACACAACCTTCTTTCGTTTCAATATCAAACTTCTCTTAGTAATACAAACGAAGCAAACGGACGCAAAACAAGACAAAACAAACCTTTGTCCTTCCGTGAAGTTCTCTGAAGAAATTAATTTAAAACCAATTGTCTTTGTGGCAGTTATCAAACAGGTTTAAGGTGTTTTTAGGTGGAAGATCATATCCAATATCCAGTCTAAGTTTGATTATTCCAGCGATAAAGCATATTATACATGATGTATAATTCAAAACTGCTCGATTTTACCAGTTTGCTTCTACATAGGGTTTTCGGTGCAGTGACCAACGAGACAAAAGGACGTTGCGTAATTGCAACGAATGAACTCAGTCAAACGAAAATTGTTTGAAAATATTTTATTTTTCCGAAGCAACTGGCTGAAGATGATAAGAAAGATTAGAGAGTGCTTTAAATTGAGGAAGTTTAAATTTACATGCTCAACCATCAAACGGGTCATGTTAATTATAGCTTAATCCTAAAAGGAGGCGCAGTTTTTCATTTACTTCAAATTTAGTCTGAAAATTGTCCATATCATCTTTCCATAATGGAGGAAACGACCACAATTATAGCCGAACAGGTGAAAGGTCGGTAAATTTCCTTTGCTCTTGAGCTCTGAAATGACAGAATTCTCTTAATAGCACATTTAGCTTATCACACAAATTGATGCAGTTCACGTTTCTCTGTTTTAACAGGTCTGACAGGTGAGTGGACGTCCCATGGACATCGCGCGATATCGCGAAAGTATTTATAGATTCTAATGAATTAGTAATCGGAAAGAAAACTGCGAAGTCAGATGTGTATGAGCACAATGTGCAAATCGAAATAGCAAAAAAAAAAAAACATTCTGATATATACTTTGCCTCAGAGAATTTCGAGGAAATGAGCTAGTTCCTTTTTTCCAACAATCTTGCCTCCTGTGGCGACCATCTTTAGGAAGAGACCACCTCGCGAAAAACATCGCGTGCCAAAAACCCTTAAGTTGTCATTCATAAAATCAACCACCTGTCCTAACTGAAAAATGGGATGTTATCACGCTGGGCAAGATGGCATGGAAAACGAAAATTCCTGCTTTTTTACTGCATTTGTAGAACATTATGTCAAGAACAAAATAATGGGAGATTATGAGAAAAAAAAAAACCCTATCATTTTTTTCTTGAATGAAAACACCTACACCGCATACGCTAAGGTCAATATGGCTGGTAGTCAACGACTGAATGATTTCGAACAATGAAATTCAGGGAAAAAACAAAAACAGCAAGTCAGTCTTTGTCTTCCATCTGCCTGGAGAATGTTCATATTAGATAACTGAAATACCTTTTCATTTTTTCTTCTCTTTCTTTAAGGAGAATTTCGAAACCAAACTGAGAACAAAATTGTCAGTATGAAGAATCACTGAGTATGTGGAGGAGTCTGCTTGTTATCGTGATTTTGTATTTGGGAGCCGTTGGGAGCCATCAAGCTTTTGCTGGAATAACTTCAACTGAACAAATAGGTCGAGCTTTTTTAGAGACCTCAGCGAAACATAAAAAGAAAATAAGCTGCTCCCATAACCACCAGCTCAATTTTTTTTTCGGGTAGAAAATGACAGTTTTCAATTTAGAATTCAGCCGCTACTTAACAACCGTTGTTTTCAGTTTAGAACATTAATATTCAGTTTAACGTTTCGTTTATTATACGGGTTAAAACAAAGCACCCGTTCTTCTCCAACACCCAGGGAGGTCCAAGTTTTCCATATTTTCCGGAAAATTTCCGAGGAATAAAATGTTCATGATTGAGTCAAGGTAAATATCTCCTGGATCGAACTCAATATCAGGACATTTTCTCTACTAAAGAGTTTTTCGTGAGTTATGATTGAACCTTCGAATCTTTTGTCGATCTGTAAATTCTCTCAGAGAAACCCATGCCATTAGAGAAGGAATAAAAAATTGACACTGACAGAATGAGACTCGAAACACCGCAAGATTTCATTTCGTGTCCGTCACGCGTGGGCTTCGCGTTGTAACACGAAATTTTATTGGGATAACATCAATCCTTTTTACTGAATGCTAAATATCGGCGCACCGGTTCTTGGAGTTCAAACTTTTAATATTGCAATCGGTGTACTTTAGAATATTTGCTGATATTACGTAGCCTAAAATGTAAAAATGAATAAATTGATGAGTTTCCCTGGGTGGTCCACGAAATTACCCTTTACAGGATACTTTTTGCCAACAGCCGGAAGAAAATCGTATTTTTAATCACCGGTGGAATAAAAAGTTATAAAAGAGAAGAACAAACAAAAAAAGAGAAACAAATCCCACCCTGATACGGTCTGGACCTTTCGGACAGTTTCTGTCCTACCAACACGAGACTCGATCATCAGGAAACTCAAAATGAAAATTGAGAATTCCTTAATTGCTTTTAAACCTTGTTAAGGAAAGTAACTCATTTCAGAACTTTGTTTACTGTCTGACAAATGCTTTTAGGAAGAGGGCGGATTTAAAAATATTGTCACTTAATGACAGGTTTTAATTCGACGCACATTTCTCAAAAGCTGATACGAGGTTTTTTTTTTAGTCCCCTCTTGATGGAAAAATTAGAAGGCGAAATAAAATGTTCACAAAGGGACGAAGTAACGTCTTCCACCTGTTTGCTGTCTGTTTTATTAATGCGGTTATTTTGTCTTGAATGAAGGGAAGAGGGAAGGTAAACAAGTAAGATGCTATAGAACTGAAAGTAGGGTCGGTTTTAAAAATATCTTTGTTATAATTAAAAAGGTTTAATTATTCCAAGAGACATTAAATATATTGTGCCTAACTTACTTGACATCATTATAACACGCGGGTTTTAATTTGCATGCAAATTAAACATCTAAAAACATTAAATATCAAAAACATGCAATGGATGAAAAATAAACAAACAAGCACAGCTGATTTCACCTTTTTGAGACATGATAAATTTACAACCACAATAGCTACTCGTTATTTCAGGGTTCAATGGTGGATGGTATTGCAAAAACTTTCTATAATCTTGGGGAGAGGGGTGGGTAAAGAGGGAGCGTAAACACAGGCTAATATACGCCAGTACTATACCTAAATATCGCTGAGGAAAACAAAATACATCCTAATATTGACACATGATCCGGCCTCTTACGATCTATGTCAAAGATATTGCTGCATATACAGTTAAAAAACAAATAATCCTCCTTCAAAATACTTTTTTTTTTTTCAACACAGAAATGTGTAAATTAAAATAGATCTAAGTAGCCAGCTTGACTTCCGCAAATGGCAATACTGTTTAGATCTCGCCTTCTCGTGTGACAGTCTATAAGTTTTTTGCAAGTTTTGTGATTGAAACATCGCTACAATATAGTTGCGGTCAAAAGTATTCATCAAACTACGCAGATCAGTCATATTCGCAATTGTTTTTTTACTTCAGCTAACGATAAAAAATGAGTTATTGTCACGGAAGACCAAAGCATTTTTTGACCGCGGTAATATCTAACCTTGTTGTTGTGTCTTGCACAAATTCTAATTCGAGGGCGTATGTAATGGGCCATTTCAAAATGGGGACGTAACTTATTTTGTAATCGATCGTCGAAAAAAAAACTTCGGCTCAATTCATGCTATTTTTAGTGTTTCCTGCTTTTATCTCCATTTTTTGAGAGCCACAACGTAAACAAAAAGACCTTAAAATGTTCCTCCATGAGCATAAATCCGAGCCCTGTTTTGATCGTACATTGGTGAATTTTTTCAAACACTATCAGCCTTGTTCTCTGCTTATTCTTTGAAAAATTCCGGGAGCTTCATTTACACAGAAAGAATCCAGGAGAAGGCGACCCCGCTAAGAGTGACATCAGCTTGATTTCTTGAGTTTTGGAGCAATGAAACTCCTCATGAAGGCCGACAGGGATGGTGGAATACCAGCATTTGCACGGCTTCTCGACAAAGTTTTATTCACAAACGATATCTGTTTGAAGAAAAAAATTCTGTAAATATTATAATGAATCAGAAAGAAACCACGATTAGATTTCAATTTTTTTTCTCTCCTTTCATTTCCTTACCTGAACATCTGGCACCTGAACCAGTAGAGAATTTTCTCGCGAGTTGAATAAAGTCTTGCGTTTTTTGGTGCAGTCCAATATGGAGGGGTTTTCAGTGTTTGTGGTGCAGGTCGAGCCACACTGCTTTTCGGATAGAGCGGACACCTCACGGACACGCGGACTAGGTTTTCTAAGACCAGACAAAAACAGCATTTTTCACCACAGTATTTTACGTGTTTACAAAGGGGCTGGACTCGCTAGTGACAGATTAAGTAACACTAATCCCAAGAAGCACTAAGTGATATCGGTACACGTGGGGCAACCCAATGAGTCTCTTTTCGATGGTAACCAAAATACCTCGAAGGTCTGGGAATCTCTCTAGTTCGACTGAGCCACGTTGTTGTTTTTTGTGATTTTGCACAGTTTTAATAATCTAAGAGATTTCTGCGACGTAAGTGCCCCTCGTGAGCAAGCCATACGAAGAAGGACGTTTTAAATGAGACTCTCTTTAAAACGGAAAGATATTCACTTCGTTTCAGAAAATAGGTTTAAAAGGCAGGAAAACCTCCGGAAAGATATATTTCATTAGGTTCTGCCTCCGGAAAGATTTTTTCCCCTGGTATTTTTGAATGAAATATCTAAATTTAAGACAGTATTGTTATTGAGCTCGTCATAGTTTAAATTCTCGAGGAAAGTGATCTATTGAGGAATATTTTGCAAGGTCACGCTCTCGACATTGTTTTTCACAGCAGTATTTGTCTCAAAATGCCATCTTACGCCGAAAACTTATTGTTCCTTGTCAAAGCTCGGATGTTGTTTAGTCTTATTGGCGTCATCTCTGCGTGTCGTGGTTGGAAAAAGGGAGGAAAGAATTTCAGTGATATTAAACTCCCTAATAAATTAGATTAAACGCTTTGGCGTTTATAATTTTATTTGTGTTTTGGAGGGCGGTGTTCACTCGAAGTTGTCTCTGAAGACTGAATATCCACTAGATAACAAAGTGAAATCGCCAATGAAGATGGAGTAGCGACTAAAAAAAATGGAAAGTGACTTTTTATATTAAGCTTAAAATACCTCAAAATAATATACACCTCTGGTCCTGAAAAGAGGCCCTGTTCATTGCCGAGTGTTCTATTGCTCAGCTGATCAAGCATCAGACTGAGAAATCGTAAGGTATGAGGTTCGAGTCGTCACGTTTTTGAAAAATGTTCATCACCTTTTCGCAAAAATCTCCTCTTTCTTGACAAAACCTCATCAACTTCACAAAAAAAAAAAAAGAAAGAAAAAAGAAAAGAAAAGTTTCTTACCTTTTCTTAATTACCTTTTGTTTGCCACCTTGTGTATTTTCTTTTGTGCCCCATACTATTTTCCCTTTGCCCCCTGATTCTGTGGGACCTTGCCCGTTTTTTCTTGATCGACCTGTGTCCCGCGAGTTCTGTTCATTAGCCTGACACGATAGTTGCGTGTTAGAATCCATGTCAGTGGTGCCTACGTCTTGTTGTTTCTTTGATTTAATGACATCATCAACTGCTTGTAACTCCTGCGCGGTGTGCCTCTTGTTTCTGTTCTTCAAGGGGAGGTCATCTTTTTCCTTTTCATTGTTAATTTCAAGCCCACTTTGGCATTTCTCGCTATGTGAGGGTTTTTCATGGTCAGATAATGATTCTTCGACCGTTTTGATTGAATTGTCGCTTAAAACCAACTTCCCTTTGTTTTGTTTTCTGGAAAGTTGGCCGTGAGCGGATGTCCCATTACTCAGCCCTTCCAGCACTTCCGTTTCCGGTTGTTGAGATGTCCCGTCAAGAGGTTTGTGAGCTGTCGTCGCACGTGAGAGGCGTGACTTGTCAACACCCGGGCGATCAATTTCACATGATGACATCTCAATGTCACGAGGAAATGGATTAACTTCTGGTGATGATGTCTTCGAAATGGCGGGTTCGCTACCTTTCTGACATTCGACACCGGCTTTGGATTTCTTTGCCACGGTCTCGCCGTCAATAACATTTGGTTTTGGTTTAATTTTTTTTGCTCTTCTTCTCAAGACTCTTCTTGACCCTTGATCTGTGTTTTCGTGTGCGCTTCTCTGCTCAATCGCGTTGCCTTCCTCAGGTGAAGACTTATCTTCTGTTGATGTAACTCGTCTTTGGCTTCCTTTTTCCCTTGTGCTCTTTAGTTTTTTCTTGTCCTGTTCTTGGACGCCCGAGAACTCTTCATCCCGCTTATCTTTAGAAGACGTTTCTACTTTTTTATTGTCCTCAGTCAATTGTTTTTGTTCTTCACTCAAATCAACAAAGAAATCGTTGTCTTCGTCAATGGATGAGATCTTCTGTTCTTCAGTCCCTGGATTCAAACTTTCAGGAATCTGCTTCTGTGAAGGTTTCTTCTCAAATTTCTTTTCATGATCTTGCAAGTCGTCGTTTTTTAATTTCACTTTTCCTTCTTCGCCACTTTCCAATTCTCTCCTGTTTGCAATATCCTCAACAAATGCGTGTTGTAGCACCTCTCGTACAATTTCACCACGTCCCTTTTTCACTGAGGTTACATCTTCCTCTTGAACCTCCATACCAGGTTTATCTTCACTTATATCCGGGTTTTTACCAGTCTCTGGTGATTTATGTGACTTCCCCGGGGTTTTGTAATCCTGGAAAGGGACGTCATCCTCTTCAGAAGCACCGGATGCTATCGATAAACCTCTGGCGTTGCAGACTTCAAGGATTTCCCTTTGCTCTTCTCTCAGTGTATTTGAAGTACTCCTCTCACATGTAACGTTATGATTACGAAGAACCTTCTCCTTTTGAGGACTCTTTTGTTTTCCTTCGTTTTCTTTCTTACCAAATTTGTCGTCTTCTTGTTCTTTATTACTGTCTTGGACAGTTTTATCTTTCGCTTTTCTTCCCCTGTCATATTTGTGTTGATCTTTCCTCGGTTCCGCTTTTTTCCTTCCTCTCTGATTATTCATTTTCCTATCTGCTTTCACAACATCCTTCTTTCCATTGTCACTCGCATTCCCATTTTGCAGATCTCCGCCAATCTCTTGGCCGTTAGACCCTTGGAAAAGTTCGCTCATCAAAGCGGAGGTTTGAACTTGTGTCGAGGCGTCACTCTTTTGAGAATCAACCTGAGTCATTGTTGAAGCGTTGTTCACATCAGTCCTGGCTTGAATACCCTTGGTCTTGTTCCAAAAAGGAAATGTTATTTATTACAAACTAGCTGATTTACTGAAGGCGTTTCTGCCGCATTCGTTTCTTTTTCTGGCTAACATTTGGGTGCACTGAAAGGCCGGGTTAACTAAACGACAATTCGCAGCGACGTTTCACGGGGAAAAGTCGCAGCGACAATTTTCTTCGTGTGCTCTGAATTAAGTCTATGAAAATCTGTCAGGGTGACTGAATTTTGATGCTACGTTCAGTTACAAGGATCGAAACCAGTCTGAACTCGTGCAACTGACCACAGAGACTACAACTCAGTTCACAAAGTGAGTCTCCCCCCTTCTATGAACGGACAAAAACTAAAAAATAGCACTCAAAACGCTTTAATCGTCAAGTAAGGATGGTGAAACGAAAAAAAAATTTACCTTCATCGAAACTTCTTTCTTTTTCAGCTCCCTCCTGAGTTCTTCAGCGTCCTTAGATGCTTGAATCTGCTTGTCCTTTGCGGAAAGGAGAGGAAAAATATGACTGAAAACTAAGACGTGCCCCCATGAATGGAGGAGTTTTCATTGGAGAGGGGTTCAAGAACTATTCTCCAAGACATGTACAAATCCTTGGACATAGGATATCACTTTGTGATGAAACTATCTTTAAGGCTAGCAAGAGGTTTTCATCTTTTTGTTCGTTAGAAAAATGCTTCGTAAAAATTACCTTCCAGGTCTTAATCTCCCTTTTCAATAAATTTTCCTTGTTACTCGAAGTGGCTCTGTACTTTTCAATTTTTCCATCCATTTCCGATTTCATTCTGTCTTCCAGTTCTTTCTTTTCCAGAAGATGCTGAATTTTTTCATCCTATCGGTCAAAGTTTAAAATGAGATAATGATAACAGCAGTGACAAGCACGGAGGAGATGATGATGATGAAAATGACTATTGAATAATGATAAAAGATCCAGACGCTCTCAAATTTAATTAGAATCTTTCCGAGAACTGTGTGAACTTTCGAGGAGGGTTTCCACAGGTTACCCAAAATGGAGCCTACACTACAATACCTCGATCGCGATCTATTTCGCCGATCCCAAGGAGGCTCAAGAAAACAAGAATTGGTAATCGGCATTTACCTGGAGTGTCTTTTGAGTGGTTTGTTGCCGGCTTGTGACGTTTTCGAGTTCCGTTGACAGGGATTCAACCTGCTCCTATACAGGAGAAAAGATTGAAATGTCATCCTATCAAATGACCATAGATGTGAAATTCAGTGATTTAAGAACTAAAATGACTAAATTTTGGTAAATAAACATGCGACTACATCTTTTACCATTGTCCTTCAGTTTTACCTTCAGTCTGCATTCGTGTTCTCGGAGTTTGTTATTGACTCGAACATTCTTCATAAGCTGCTCATTTTTACACAAGAGTTCTAATTCTACTATAGACCGTTTACAGAAAAACGTATCTTGGAACACCTGTAGCTTAGATCTTTCGTATTCAGCCTCTAAAAGTTTCAGTTCGACGGAAAAACAGTTTTCCTTCCTATTGGAGCCGTCCGCCATCTTTATCAGTTTGAAAGCAATCGCTCGCGCTTTGTTTTCAAACTTGTTAACTTTAATCGTTGATTGGTCAAAATATGGAAAATATTTAGCGCTGATTGGCTCTTCAACACTACCTCAGAAATCACCGCTGACTACAAAAATAGATGGGATTGAAAGCAGAAAGAACATGGTGGTGCTAATTAGAAACTTACTTATTTTCTTTCCACTTCTGGTCATATTTCCAGCACATGCCCTCGACAATGGCTTAGCCATCACTCCACCAAGTAAGGCTTTCATTGTTTAGTTTCAGATAAGCGAGGAATAAGAGATATTTACACAGGAATATTTATTGCTTTTTTTTCCTCTATCAGCTGTTTTGATTGGATGTGCGATTTTTGTGCAACGCTTAGGCGTTTTCATATCTCTTAACCCCAGGAATGACATTTGTTTATATAAAGGCTGTGAAGTGAAAGAGCATGAATGAAGAAAAAATGTATTTACAATTTAGGAAGGCTATCACCTTGCTATTTACTTTAATAAACTAGAGTAAAAAGGTTATGACTTATCTGCAAGTTATGTCTTTGTTATGTGTAGTAGGAAAAATGATTTTGGCAGGGATGCACCTGTTTTCTCAATTATGACCGTTATTAACTCTTAAACGCTTAATAACAACTGCATTATCATCAATTTTATTGAACTAAGTGTTTGTTTGAGTAAACAGTTTTATAAATGGTATTATTCTTAGTGGGATGGATGGCATGGGAGAGATTCCGATGTAACATAGACTGCAAGGATGACCCACAAAATTGTATCAGGTAAAAGTAGTCCTGCCCTGCCTGTATCTTAAATACTGGACACAAAAGATTGTTGAAAGTACATTAGAGCAAGTTCAAACTTATGTGTAACCTTGGTTATTCTTTTTTCACCACTGATTATCCATAGGAACTTCTGTGGTCTCCCTTATTTTAAGTATGAAAGGTAAAAGTAATATTGAAACCCATAGAGAAATCCTTCCACTTGTTGAATTTTCTAGAATTCCAAGCAGTTTTAGGCAATGGTGAGAGGTACTATAGGTGGTAAATTTTACTGATTACAACCTGAAAAGGAGAGCACTGAATTTTGAGGACGTTATTTTATTTACAAACTGAAATGTGCATGATATACACTCCGGGATTCCTTTTGATGAGGGGTATAAAGCTGAGAAGAAAAATAATTTTCGTGTGGATAGATATGTAATTTGAATATGTGATATTTGCTGGATAACGATTCAAATATTTTACCTTTATTCATTGGTATTTAATACTTTGTTGTTGTCACTTTTTTTTTCCCTCCGAAGTGAAAAATTGTTCATGCAAATGGCTGATCGTATCGCTGAAGATGGTTTTCAAAAAGCTGGATATGAATATGTTTGTATCGATGTAAGTACCATGCTTAACTTGTTAGTTACCCATAATTTGATGCATGTAGAACTTGTTATAATAATCTGAGAATTATTTTGTAGTAAGGTTAGGTATCACTCTTATATCATACATTGAGGTGAGGAGAATATAGGAACTGATCACTGACTTAAGAGGCTTGTGATTGTTAGACAAATTCTCCCTGTTGGCACATTAGGAAATGTTAGGAGAACAGTATGGAGATTATGCTTACTGATGTTAGAGTGTCAAGGTTTAGCAGTATCAAGTAACTTTAACATTTACTGACTCATGTCTCAGGACTGCTGGGCTTCTCACAATCGCACATTAGAAGGTGATCTTCAGCCAGATCCCAAGAGATTTCCAAGTGGAATTAAAAAGCTTGCTGACTATGTAAGTAATAAAAAATAATAATAAAAAAGAAAAAACAAAAAAATTAATTTTATAAGCAATGAGAAGCTGAGGATCTGAACTGAAGCCTGAGTGAGAAGGACCAGAGCCAAGTTGGAGGGGGAGAGGGGAGGGAGGGTAGACCTAAGTCACAGCAGGAGAGACAAGCATTCCAACCCTTTTGCTCTTATGGCTTCCTGTTGTAGCTTGATGTGACTCTCCATCACAGATTTATTGAATTTTCTTTTTCAATCATTCTTTTCGTCAGATTCATTCCAAAGGTCTCAAGTTTGGATTATATGCAGGTAACAATGCTCATGAAGTTCTCCAGAAGAAAATCAAAAGATTGGATTTGATTTTATATTACAACTAAATGACTGTGTTCCTAGAAATACTTTCTTTTACCAGATTTAACTACTTGCTTGCTGAAATTAAGTGTTGATAAACATTAATAATAATGAAAATACCATTAGTATGTGCTTCAATCTAATTAGCGCTCTGGTCTTTGGTACAATGGTACCATAACTTTTTAATTATGGCAGTGGTTTCCCTTATCTAAATTGATCAAAAATACATGTTCAAAACAGGAATCAATAATATTCACAGCACTTGAACTTTGTCTTCTTCCAGATTATGGTGATCTAACCTGTGAGCGTTATCCAGGAAGCATAGACTATATTCAACAGGATATGCAGGTACTTCATTGTTCATTAAAGGTAACATAACACCCTCTGAAAAATCATTGGCTGAAACATCATCAAAATGGTATCACAATTAAACTGACTTGCACACAAAACTCTTTAAAATGCAATACTCAAACCAAATTAAAACACTGCCACTTGCACAAGATATAATCATTTCCATGGCTTAATTGCAAGCAAGATTCATGTTGCAGTTTCTGCTGTAGCTGTTTTTGGCAGAGGCACTTGTGAGAGATCAAATTCATCACTCTGTTAAATAACTATAGATTCCCATTTCATTTATTTGCTACAGTTGTTTGCTGACTGGGGTGTGGATTATCTCAAGATGGATGGTTGTTTTGCTGATCCTCTTACATTTGACATAGGCTACCCAACAGTTACAAGAGCATTGAATGAAACAGGGAGACACATTGTGTTCTCCTGTAGCTGGCCTGCTTATCAAGTGTGGGGTGGAATGACGGTAATTTTGCAATAAAATTTTTGATTAATCTCAGATGAATTACTTTCTAGCTTTTAGGCCTACCCTTATCTGTGATATGCACCAAAGACCATGGTTTGATTAAGTTTCTATGTCAGTTGTGTAAGAGGATAAATTTTAGTTTATTTGCAGACAACCTTCACCCTTCAGTGCCATATCAGAAGTAAAGTAACTTTCCCAGGAGCCAGAGAGGCTTTTTTCTGTCAAGTTTTTATGGTTTTTAGGATCCATATAGGATAACATTTAGCTTCGTTTATATCTAAGATATTTCTCTGTTACTATTGCAAATTACCAGCTATGATCAATTTGTGATAATGAGTGTTCTTAATTTGCTAGCCTAATTACCAGCTCATTGCAAAGCACTGTAATTTATGGAGGAATTACAATGATATACAGGTGAGACATCATTATAAAGTGACTAACAAAAGTGATTTTTATTTCATTATTTTGCATTCAGTTTGGTAATGCATGATTATTAACCCCAGCTGTGCTGCATCATTATTGCTTCCTTTTTGTTCTTGACAACTTGTTTATTGTTATATGTGCAAGGATTCTTGGCTCAGTTTGGTAAGAATTGTAGAATGGTATGGTGATCACCAACATGAAATGATACCTGTGGCTGGACCTGGACACTGGAATGATCCTGACCAGGTGAAGTGTTCTTATTGAATAGAGACTTAAAGGTATCATTTGTGTCACACTTGACTTCAAAGCCATTTCCTGTCAATGTTGTGCTGTTGTGCTAACAACCCATGACCCCCAACTTCACACCTGCAACAGAAAACTTCATATCCAAAACCCACAACATTGTAACCACAACCTCCATGTCAGGGCAATGGGTAATTCTCCCCTAAGAGGGCTTTCATTTGAGATGTTGGATGAAAACAAAAAACTTGGCCAGTATGCAAAAAGGGAAGTGGGTGAAGGGGGAGAACGGCCACCAAGTGTTCTATTTTAAACAACTGGCATCACTTTTTTGGACTTTTTTGCACTTTCCTTACTTTCCTAAAATTTGCTTTTAGCTGAGTGACCAGCTTCATCATCATGTTATTAGTCACTTGCTCTTTTTCTGATTGTATATTCCAAAGGGCTAAGTAAAATAGTGCCAAATAGCTACCTACATAGAATTTATAACTTTCTCACAAACTTTCATGCCACTAACATTAATTTTACTGGTACAAATAAAGAAATTAAAAATTTAGTTCAAATTAACTTATGTCAGGTGTGATTAAACCCATTTTAACCCTTACATTATTAGAATATGAGTTATGATCAATTGCTCACGACATGTTTTGTTTCATCAGCTATTGATTGGAAATTTTGGTCTTAGCTATGAGCAGTCCAAGTCACAGTTTGCTCTTTGGGCAATTCTGGCTGCTGTAAGTTATGTCACAATTTTTAGTAACTGTCCTTTGATCTTTGATGTGATCATGGTAAATATCTTACATGTTGTTTGGAGACATATGAGATTATTGGTCATTCATTTCATTATTTCATGTAATTTTTTTTTGTCATTATAGCCACTCATGATGTCAAATGATCTTCGTGATATTGCTCCATGGGCCAGGGAAATATTATTGAATAAGTAAGAAGTTCAGTTGGTTTGAAATTTTTAAATGAAGAAACAATTGAATTATAATGGGTATAAAATAGTGAAATTGGAAGTTAAAAGCGAGACTTCCTTAAGTGACCTTTTGTCCAATGTTCCTTGTTGAATTGGAGGAAAAGCTGAGAACCCTAGAAAAAAACTCTCCGAGCAATAACAAGAATTAACAGCAAACTTAAACCATCTGTGATGTCAGGTTTGAGAAATGAACCCAGGCCTCAGCAGTAAGAAGTGAGCATTCCAACCACTTCATCATTGCTGTAAGAAAA